TGTTAGACAGAACAACACTAGCTTTTTCCTCCTTATTTCAGTCTTTATGCTAAGCAAAGTTAAGCAACTGATATTTAAAGGACCAGTGTGTAGGAGGTTTCTTACGGTGAAGTTCTGGGCTACCATAGAAACACTGATGGTTCAACATGGCTCTTGATGGTTCAACTCCATTGAAGGCAATTTACAATATCTGTATTCTATTTTACACTAATGAAAACATACCTATGAATGTAAACAAAATTAAGATTATTTGCATTATCGATGCATCTGTTTTTTATTTAACATTTAGTCAATAAAATGTCATAAAATCTTGAAAAATCAGGACGTCCCAGATTCCAATGTGACATCCATAGTTTGCTTTTCTTGGCTGACCAACAATCCAAAACTCATGATATGAAATGAAACAGAGAGAAGAAGCAAATTGTTTGAGAAGCTGGATTTTTTATTTATTTATTTATTTGGTGGATTTTTGCTCAAATAATTACTTCAGTGATTAAAAGACAATTCATTATTTTAATACTCAAATTAAACCCAGATATTCCTTGTCCTAAAATGATATAAACCCAGAAAATGACCATCCCAAAATTAAACTCAGAGATCCAAATCTTAATTCTTAAACATCCGTTTAATTACTTTATTAGATTTATTAATTCTATAGGGCACATGGTGGTACTGTATGATGCTCATCTTGTCCCCTTATTATAAAGGCCTATAGGTGACCAGATGCTCACATAATTATTTCAGCATTTCTTACATTGGTAATGTGTGTGAATGAATGAATCCCAATACAAGATCACACTGTCTGCTTCATTTCGATTGAGCTCCTGTAGAGTTATAAATGTCTTGGCATAAATGCGCTTGCAAGTAATTTCTGTGATAATAAAGACGGTTTTCGTTCATTTGCACCTATATTAATGAGGTTCTTGTTTTTTTCTATATAATTATAGATTTATTATCCTATAGATTCTATAATGGTTTCCAGGCAGGCACAACAGTGTTTAAGCCCCATTGATTTACAGTAATAGCCTGTGAATGGATAAAAAACACCCCAAAAAAAAGCCTGAATTTGATGGTTCCCATTCATAAACTGTGAATGTGTTGCTGCCTTCTCTTGCTCCTAGTGCGTTACGATGAGAAAAAAAATCTGTCGTCGTCCCTTATTAATCAGCTCATTCATTTGCATCCAGCTGACATGTTTTCAAAGAAATGCAAAGGCGCACAGTTTTAGAGCACTGTAATAAGATACAACAGGCTGTCTGTAACGAGGAGTTTAATTTGAAATGTACTCAACATCGGACAATAATGATGAACTCTCCCTCTGGAGAAATCCATGAATTCAGTGGCACTTGGTGTTGGGGTATCGCGGACCGACAGACAAACTGCTCAGTGCAGGTTCAGGTGCAGACGCGCTCAGGACGAAGCATCTCCACACCGCTGCTTTCTCCTCTCTAAGGGACCATTTATCTGTAAGTGAAATGCTCGTGTTTTGTATTCTTTGTTTACAGTTGCAGCCTACTAGATATCTTTCATGCAGAAGAATGAATTAATGAAGGCTTTTATATAGATATATCCAAAACGCATTATAGCATAAGGCAAATGATCAGCAACATTGTGCAAGTAACTTAATCAACAATATAAGAGATTTCTTTTGCATGCATGAAAGTATTGTTTGTCCTTATAGCCATTGAGAAGATATTAATATATTTTAATTTTAATTATCTTTTTAAAAAAATCTTTGGCGCAAATAATATGGATTACAAAAAAAGCTACATATGTATTATGTAACTTATAAAAAACATTATAGCCTACTTTTATGCAGAACTTTGATATTGTATATAGCAGCCTATTTTAAATGCAACTCTTTTGAAGTGCTGTAAGAAGCCTATAACTGCAAAAGCAATGTTGTTTATAAGGTTTGGTTCATAGGCATTATGTCAGACCTTAAGGCTTCCATATGTTGTTCAGCTGCTTATGGCTGCTAAACAGTGTTGTTTGCTTTTCTTTATGATTTATGATGATTCAGTCAATGCCAAAGACTACTTATACGACTAATAACACAAGTGTCTGTTATTGGAGAAAGAATATTAGAAAAATAGAAGCAGGTTCATAGGTTATTATGTACAGTACATAGGTTGTTATGTACAGTAGTGTACAGTATGTGCTACTTAAAAAGAAAGTAAAAGAACAAACCCATTCCTGCCATCTAAATGACTGGGAGGGGAATTTGAAAAGTGTTCCTTTACCATTGTACCATTTGTCTGGCAAGGAGAGCTAATGAGCCCAAAAATACCTATGTGGCCTTCATTGCACAACAACAAGTTGAGGCAAGTAGACATTACAGCTGCTGTTTCATTAATCTCAGGTTTAGGGACTCACTTGAGAATCAGAGTCCTGCAGGTTTAAATGTCCACAGCTTGCTGAGTTCTGATTGGATAGCAAAGATTCGATTGATTTTGGTCTTATACCAGTTCACACTAGTGAGATTGATGTTGGATCTCTGGGATAACAGCTGAGGATAAATCTGATATAGCAGGGAATGCTCACCTTTAGGTGTGAAATTTTTGTTAGCCAAAGGTGTGGAAAAAACAAGGTTGTTCAAAGCCCACAAATTCTACAAGTGGTTTTACAGAAGCACACAACTGGATAATAATGTATTGAGGCCACTCAAGCATTTTTTCTTTTTTTAACACATGGGGCAGCTCCCGGACCTATAAGAAACTAAATCCAATGTGGTCCCATTCCTTGAGCTGCCATAGGCAATGACTGTCAAATGCCACCTACCAGGGGAGAGAAATCAAATCTGTGTTTTGGCAGTCTGTTGATACACAGACGTCGGCTGCGCTGAGCCTGAGGTGGGGCCCCCACAGATGTTGGGGACATGGGCATCATGACATCACTTTGCTAATAAATGCAGTAGAAACACAACTCCACTAGACCCCACTGCCAACCTAAAATATTGTCAGTACACAGTATCACATTTTCTGAAAAATGGGACAGACTGAAAGAACATTTCATCCAAATCCTATGGGTAATTTATTCTGCCTGGTGGTCAAAGACTGTTTGGATTGAAAGAAAATGTAAAAAAAAAAAGAAAAGATATAGCCTGTTAGGGAGATTGTAATAATCTCAGTATCCACCATTATCATTTATATGTTTTCAGTATATTCAAATTTTAAACAGTTTTAAGCTTTACCTCAGCTGGTCTCATGCAGTCATGCACGGTACTATTATCTGTGCCTGTCAGGCAGCTGGTGCGGGACTGATTAGCCCGCATGAGGACAGGTCGTGGAAAAAATAAGGACCCACTGAAGCCGCAATCATTGGTGTAACGTGTATGTTCATCTCGCTGATAGTCTAGATTTGAAGGAGGTTTGCTATCTTTTCCTAATTACTGACTTCACAGTCCTACAGGTGATCAAAACACCCCCACAAGAACTTGTTAACCGCAGACATCAGAGCCATTCAATGTGACTGACAACACAAAGGTGACTAATGTACATCCAGACCTGTTAAAAATATCCATAGGCAATAGTAGAATTCACACAGGGTTTCAGAGTGTATTGTAGAATAAATTTATTTTGATGACAGAGGTTGTGTTTGAATAACAGACAGTCCTGGTGTGTCTGTAAGTCTATAGGTCTCAATTCTAAGCAGGTTTTGAGTGTGTTTATGGTGGAAAAGTGACAAAATGGATTATATTTAAAGTTAGTAAGTATATTCAATATGAGTAAGTATACTTTTTTAAAAATCCTCTCAACAAACAAAACAAGTGCAGTAACATAGACCAGGGAAATGTCTGAAAAAGGGAGCACATATAAATAGTTGTAATATAATTTTTATAGTTTGAAGAGGGGGTTGTCTCAGTGTATCGTTTGATTTAATCAATGAATGAGAAAAACAAGGATTTCGAATTTGCATATTTAGATTTGTGGATATGATATTTTGCCAGTGTCATAATTTAAGTTCACCCTCCACTGAAAAAAATGTGGCTTGCTTGGATGTTTGAGCTTCACTGTGCAGAATGATGAACATGTAAAATTTGACCCTAAGAGGTTGTTTTCACATTTAGCCACTGAAGGAGCAAAAGTTTGTTCACCTTAAGCCAAGCAAGGTTAAAGGCATGTACGTACGAGAGGAGTTTGTGAAATCAAAACTAGTAAATCAGTCATGGTCAAATATGCAACATACATATATGTGATGCTGAAACTTGAAAAATTAACTCTTGTGTTCCGTAGTCACAATTTTTAAATAAGTAATATTTTTTGCTTTTTATTTAGTTTCTGGATGTTTTATCTGGATTCTGGTAGAAGGAGTCGAAAGAAAGAAAGTTTTTTAAATTTGAAAATTGAAATTGGTTGTTGTATTTGAGCTACCAAATCTTTTGAAAAACCTTTGGCTTTTTGTTTAAGTTTAATTGGCCGCAGCTCTTCAAAGTCACCACACAGCTTATGTCTCAGCACATGTACTGCATCTTTTTGTGTTAATACAAAACAGAGAAGTACATTGATTTCTTGTATAGCCTACTAATTGTAAAAAAGTATACAGTACATTGACAATTAGTACTGTATGTAGTGCATAGTGTTTATTATTAGCATGGGACACAGCATACAGTACGTGTCACTTTGAGTCCAGAACTACCGCAAGGAGTACCCACAATTGGAAATTTTCCAATGGTATCTATAGGTGATTCAGATCATTAAAAAAATGTGAGCTGGTTCTCAGCTTTGTGCGCACCCTCAACAGTGAGACTGATTGCAGTGTGTATGTGTGGTCATGAGAGAAGGAGAAAACAAAGGTACGGTCAAACTCAATAAGAAAGCAAAAGACATTTCAAGTTGCTTTTCAAGTTACTGGAGAACTTTGATGGAAGCCAGTAATGTGGTTTCAGTGACTCAATTCAGCAAATTCTAATACTCTTTGGTTTAAAAATCTCAGTGCTTTTAGAAGGAAACCTAATTGAGAGGCTGTTGAAAATGGACAGTAATTCATATCCTCTGAACATGATTGATCGCAGGGCAACAGGTACCAATTTATCTTGAAAAGTCTTTCCTCGTGATGGATGTGTAGGAAGTAGTATACACAGTCTACGACAATTTAGGCTTTTATCAGTTCAAAGACTCTGGTCCATTTTGAATTTTTTTTAAATAACCCATACTTTATTTAGAGTTTTTTTGCACAATGTAGATCACCTGACAGATGAAAAAGCTCCCTGAATTGTGTCACCAATTACTGAACTCAACACTTATGACCCTTTCAGCAGTCAAAATTGTTCTGTTCTTCTTCCCCTCAGTCAAAAAGAACAAGTCTGAAGTGATGGACAGGACACAAGATATAATGGTTTTGATCTGCCTGCTGTTTCTCAAACTGCCAAAGGTTAGTTTTGGTGAAGTACATTATTAATTTTTTTATTTTGAGTGAAACGTCTGACAGAGAAGGATTACTTTTAAAGAAATTGTTTTATTGAGAAATGTCTTCCAAGATGACATGAAGAAAGGGAAAAGGTTTCTGAAGTATTTGTCTGTAAATGTCCTAACAGTTTGAGATGGTGGCCAGTGGGAAGGTCTTGGAGGAGACTTATCGGAAGTGGGTCCAATATAAAGAAGACTGTGTCAAAATGATAGAAAATGAGCCGCTACTTCAAGGTATAGAGAAACTTAATTCATTTAGTATTAAGTCATCATGCAAAAGAGTATATGGCAATAGGTTGAAAAGGAGAGGAAAGATAACAAGTAAAATGTGAATTTTTTAAGTCTCTTTTTATTTGCCCTTCTAGCAGGCTTGTTCTGTAACAGGACATTTGACAGATATGCCTGCTGGCCAGATACTCCTGCCGGCTCTGTGGTCAACATCTCATGCCCTTTCTACCTGCCCTGGTATGACAAAGGTAAATCACACTTTTGATGAGTACAACTTTGACAGGACAACACACTGAAATAAAAAACATGTTCTTGTCAGTTTGCTGTTTTTGATGTGTGGTAGAGCGGTTGCTAGGGGAGTAGCTCCATCCATCTGTACAGAGCAAAATATCTCTGTGAATACAGATGAAGTGAAAATATGCAAAAGATATTCAAGTTTCCCAAAACTAGTTAGTTAGTTAGTTAGTTAATTGAAAGGCTACTAATAGGCTGTCTGTCTGTTCAATGAGAATCTACAGCCAGGGAATAGTAGCTTAGCTTAGCACAAAGATTGCAAATGGGGGGAGCTTTTAGCCTTACCCTAAATGAAGGCAACAAAATCCACCGACCAGTGTCTTTAAAATTCACCTTTAAAGCAATTAACATGTTGTTTATTGTTTGATGTTGATGTAATTTACCACTAATCTAAACTAACCAGCTACCTGCTCCTAGCCTACTCAATATCCAAAGGTATATTATTATATTCATACTAGATAATAACAAATATACTTACTTATTACTGTAACAAAGAAAATGGTCAAACAGACTTTATTGATTGTTTAATCCATACAAAGAAAGAAACCAGCTACTGGCTGTAGCTGTGAGGTTTCCACACAGACATGAGAGTGGTATCAATCTTCTCATCGAACTTTCAGCAAGAAAGCAAAGAAGTATATTTCCCAAAATATCAAACTATTCCTTTAAAGCACTTTAGAACAAATTTTTTTTAACATTACAAACATGAAACCTGATTTGCTTTGTGTGTGTGTGTGTGTACCTAAGTATGCATGTGTCTTTGTGTTTCTTGTCACTTTCTGCTGGAATGATAACCTGTCCAGCTTTTTACCTGTCATCTGTCCCGTGTTGCCATTGGCTTCAACCCCCTTCTGTGACCCTAATTAGGAATAAGCTGTAAAGGCTGAAGGACTGATTGTTTCTCCTCCAGTGTCCCAGGGTGTTGTGCGTCGGCAGTGCGGCTCTGATGGCCTCTGGGAGAGAGAGGACAGCGGGCAGGTGTGGAGAGACATGACCCAGTGTCAGGAGGAAAAAGAGGTCACATCTCAGGAGGTACAGAGACCAAAATGCATGGGGGTTAATTTGTTGCAACTGAGAGCACTTCTTGTTGCTCAAAATTTGTGTTGCGTGCATTCTCTGTTGAGGAAGATGTTTCTTCTGTTTAGCGTTCACTGCATTGTTTTTTTCTTGTCAGACTGAGGTCATCATGTAAACATCTAATGGGAAAGAAAAAACTCACTGCTCTTAAGAGGACAAACCTTTTATCATAAACTGCAGGTGTAAATGAAAAGCTGAGTATCATTAATAATTGAAACTAACCATTAGGGATATGATTGACAAAGACTGTTGATTGGTATGACATGACTCACCTTTTCCTCTTATTTTCAAGTGACTGGAAATAAGAGGTAAAAATCCAAATGAATTAACTCTATTATTATAATA